ATAAAGCGCTTTCTTTCACATGGGAGGGTGAAACCGGGCCGGGGTGGGAGGAGGGGCCGGTGGCGGGGCTCATACGGGTGGAGGTCGGGTCTGAGGAGGCCTAGCTGAGAAGCTGGCGGATCTCCTTGTGCATGTGACACAAGAAGTCCACGTACGACGCTCCCCCGCTGGCGCTCTTGTCCTCCACCAGGAAGTGCCTGAATATGAGCTCGGCTCTGTCCTCCTGCTTCACCACCATCAGCTGCAGACGACAGGAGAGAAGAGGTGAGAGGGAGAAGGGCCGGCTGTCAAACTTTATTTAAAACGTGTCTGTGCACAAACTCTCAAATCTAACTGCAGCCAATGATAACGCTGGTCTACACCCATTGTAGTGTCAAAGCCTTTTGAGCTGATTTTGGACCATTGCAATGTGCTGAATCCAAATATTACGTCGGTTTTGCTCAATGAGGTCAAAATTTTGATTTGTCGCCACATGCACTTGTTTTTTTTACATGTTTGTGTTCATGTGCAGGTATCCATGCTTCGTATCAAACAAAATTATTTTTCTATTTCCTGAAGCCTTCACAAGTTGATACTAGAAATATTTGCAGGTGAATTGAATTTAGAAAGTTTAGCCCCTGGTTGATGAACGACACATTTAGGACAGGACAGGGTTGAAGGACACGGAAACGAGGAAGCTTGCCTTCATGTATCGTGATCGCTGCGCTCTGAAGGAGTCGATGATCTCTCGGAGCCTCTGGGAGAACGGGTTGTCCAGAACCGGCAGACTCGTCTGAAACGGAGCGACAGCGTTCAGAAACGACACCCAGCAAAGGTTAAGGAAAAGAAATCAAGATCGCACATTAAAATAATAGGAAAAGCCTGTTTTACTGTATTTACTTTTCACTTCATTCTCTTATTACTGGTGCCCATTACAGCTCACTTTAAATCTTTCTGAGTTGAGTAAAAGGTTAAAACAAACACAAGTCACAACTAGAACATCAAACAGTTTGCTGATGTTTTCTAGCCACTGATGATTCAGATTTTTTTAACACTGTGTTATGAAGTTGTGATCTGTCGTGGTAATCTTTATGTTTTTTTTAAACTGTTTTTCTTCTTAGGTACCAAAGCCAACTGAAGGATTGCACAAAACCAAATAACTTCCTCCAGCACCATGATAAAGGCAGTAAAGCCAAAAGCTTATGTGGATGAAGCTTCGCCTTCCCTCAAAAACAAACCAGGATTAAAGCACCCACAGCGGGTCGGTCACCCGGCTAAGACCAACAAACACATCGGATCTGTTTCCCCTCACCAGGCTCGAGTCGATCTGGCCGAAGCTCGGCGTGCCGAAGATGTTGAGCAGCAGCTCCTGCTGAACGCTGGCTCCCACCCACAGGAAGAGGTGGAGTCCCGTCTCCAGGATGTAGACGCCGCCCTTCGACAGCCGCTCCTCCGAGTCCCTCACCGCCACCGGCAACGACCCGCTTTCCAACTTCATCTGGAGGGTTGAAGAGAAAGAACGACATCAGACGGATGCTCTTTATCCAAACTGGCTTTCTTCCTTCTCAACAAACAAATATCACTCTGACAGCATGAAGGATAAAGAGCTACACTGTACAGTCAGGTCATCCATCATCTCTACACCTTAATCCTCACTAGGGTCATGGGGGGCTGGAGTCTATCCCAGCTGACACAGGGTGAAGGCAGGGGACACCTGGACAGGTAACCAGTCTATCACAGGGCTACACTTAGAGACAGACAACCAAGCACACTCACATTCACACCTACTGACAATTTAGAATCACCAATTAACCTCAACATGTTTCTGGACTGTGTGAGGAAGCCGGAGAACCCGGAGAGAACCCACGCTGCACGGGGAGAACATGGAGACTCCACAGAGAAAGATCCCGGGTGTCCTCACCGAGACGCAAACCGGCAACCTTCTAGCTGCGAGGCAACAGTGCTAACCACCGAGCCACCGTGCAGCCCTAGTCGGGTCATGCGAGTACCAAAATAAGTCGTGCAATTCCAAAAAACAAGCTAAAAAAGTGAAGTTTTCAGATCTACAGTTCTTGAAGAGAAGATGTTTGCATGTTTAG